GATTTAGAAAAAAACCATATTGAGTGAGGCAACCTAGAATCAGAAAGACAAATATAATATGTATTCACTCATAAGTGGCTTTTAAACATAAAGCAAAGAAAAACGAGCCTTCAACTCACAATCCCAGAGAACCTAGATGACAAAGAGGACCCTAAGAGAGACATATGTGGATCTATATAGGCATGAGAAAAAGACAAGATCTCCTGAGTAAATTGGGAGTGTGTCACGGGAGATGATAGAAATGGAGAGGAGAGGAAGAGAGGGTAGTGTAGAAAAATGTATAGCTCAAAAAACAATAATAAAAAAAACAATAACCCTACTATCAGATTGGGATGAATTGAGATTCCCGAAGGCTAAGGTAAAGGACTTGTTGAAGGTCATATAACTGATAAACAATACCAAACATGCTCCTTGAAAACAAGCCAACTGTGTTGAGTATCTTACAGAGGATACATCACTATCAGACGTACTGTGCAGAAGTGGTAGCTTTCTTACAATCATCAGCTTGAGAACTGCAACCCTAGCACACTGGAGAGCTCTGTGAAAGGGTGTTCACAAACTGAGTTAACCCTTCAAAAAGCTCCATTCTGTCCCAAACTTGGACATGCAAGTTTGTTGGCGACTGAGGTAGACCAAGGCAGGGCTAAGAAAAGAAGTTAAAACTCAGCATGATGTCATACATTCACAATTTCAGAACTTGAAAAGTAGAAGTAGAAGGGTCAGGACTGTAAGGCCAGGCTAAGCCACATGAAACATTATCTTTGTTTCTTTGTTGTTTGCTTGTATATATGCCTGTGCACCGCACCCATGAAGTATCCATGGAAGCAAAAAGACAACACTGAATCCTTTGCGACTGGAGTTACAAATGTTTGTGAGCCATTATGTGGGTGCTGGGAATCAAACCCAGGTCTGGGAGAGCAGCCACTGCTCTTAACTACTGAGCTATCTCTCCAGCCATATGCATGTTGAAGAAAACGAGCAGATTAAATAGATATAAGAAAAGGGAATGACAAGGTGTGGGTCAAAAGAATGTGGAGGCAGGAAGGAAGGAAGAAAGGAAGGAAGGAAGGAAGGAAGGAAGGAAGGAAGGAAGGAAGGAAGGAAGGAAGGAAAGATAAATCAAGCATGATTTTTAAAGATTGCTGTATGGCATTCCTCTAGTGTCAATTTTATTATTTAAGATTAAGTTTATATACAGTCAGTCTATTGATTTCTAAGGAGATACAGATAAAATGGCACAAACTTTTTATGCAAAGAAAAAACATTTGCAAAGCTACTATAGGAAGACTAGGAAATACGCGCAGCAGATCACCCAGACCCATCCAGCTGTTTATAGAGGTATCCCAAGATTCTAGCAGTAAAAATAACTCTTGGCATGGCATCAATTATATTTTAATGTCAAATACACATAGCCTGATAATCCCAAAGAAATCTTTCAAAATTGAAATTTCAATGTAAAAGAAAACCCTAAAAATCAAATTAATGACAACATGTAAGATACTGCATTTATTCTAAACTTTCTTAGAAATAGTAATATACATATATTCTATATATGTACACATATATAGATTGTGTAATATGTGTCAGTGGGTGTGTGTGGAAAGGAAAGAGAACACTTGTGAGAGAGGTATGATTTAGCTTCCTGAGGTTTGTGCACACCCATGCCATCAGAGGCATCTTCGTATGAGAGGGGTGACGCTCAGATAACTGACCCAAAGCTCAGGACATTCTGCTTAGATTATGTTCTGGCTCACAGCATGGTTTCTGAAATGCAAATTACGTGGTTTGTTTGTCATTTTTTATTATAATGTTTATAAGAAATATTTCCTACAGCATGCTTTCCAAAAGATTTAAATTAAATTAGTAATTTAATTAGTACGAAATTATCATAAAAACTACTGAATGCAGCCATTGGTCCAGGATTTGTAGAGACACACATATATTTATTACTTGGAACAAGAAACCATTCAAATTCAGTTCCAAGAGAAATAGCGGTTACTAATAAACTGGGCCACTGTCCAATCTGGATTGCTAAATCATCTACTGTGGAGAGGAGCGTCTGGCTCCCTTACACACTGCATCTTCATCAGTTTATTATTACAATGCTTCAATTTTCTTATTTGCAATTAATTTCAAGCTTAGGAAACAAGTGAATAGTAGATGAGAAAAATATCATAGCTATCACTTGGAAGGAAAGCTGACCATCACAATAGATTACCAGGTTTTCTAGGGACAAGAACTGGCTTTTCTGCGGCAACCATGTTCATGCTATGAACCCAGAACATTTACATGTTCACGTCCATAAAAACATATAGCAAAGCCTGTACAAAACCCATACGACAGACTGTATACATGCTCATGGCTATAGCACGTGTAGTAGATTATTTACAGAAGCTTGGGTACAGAAAGAACTGACTCCTAAGGCCCACAACACACACACCTCTGGAGCTCTTACTCCTTAATTCTGAAACAGAGAGTGATCACCATGCCAAACTTTACCAAGGGGAGTTGCATGAGACATTTTTTCCAAAACCATTCTTAACAACGGCAGGCGACTCAAGCACTGCTAGGAGCTGCGTAAGTCACCATTCAAGGCCTAAGTAAAAGGACATAGCTTTGAAAAGTCTCATTTTTTAAAATTTATTTGAGCACTGAACCCTTCTGTGTATTTTTATTGAAATTCTGTGCAATTCATCTTTTATAGAAAACCCTTATCTCATATGAAGAAACCCGAGTCCAGATAAGTGTGGTGAGAGCTACAAAGTTAGGCAATTAGTCAGCAGATAACGAACAACTCTCAGCAGTATCCAGGAATTGTTCTAGCACTATATTCTCTCTTTCCTGTAACACATAATTAAATGGTCTACTCCAAAACTCTTGTGTTGAAGATGAAAGATGTCCTCAGGGAAACCACATAAATGCATGTCTACAGTGGAAGCAGCACCCAGCTCTGAATTTCAACACTAGATCCTGCCCAAGTACTACCCAATTTCTGCAAGACAAACACTTTTGCCTCTTATGTAAGAAGTACGGACAAAGAGGGAATTTAACTGTTAAGGATCCATTAAAAAGTTTACTAAACCACTTTTGTATCAATAGGTATTTTTGAATCAATTAAGCATGACTACTTTTACTTACAAATGTCATCCACTGTGACAGGGAGTCAGTGTTTCAAGCTGCTGAACAGGTCATCATCCCTGTCTTGTTGGATGACACCTGTAAATAAAATAAATCTATTTTTGAGTGAGATTTCTAAGTTAACTCTATTTAAGATGCATGCAGTTTTAGCAAAGAGTAACTTTTAAATGGCCCTTAATGATGTACTACTGGAGAGAGATAATTCCCAATGCTAACTACATTCCATAGTTTTCACTGGCCCCTTAACACAACAGAGTCCTGGGAGTTTACTGTATTGTCAGAACACAATCAAAATAGTGGGAATCGTGTAGCTGGTATTCATTTCAGCTTCCTGACTCTGTGATTATTATTTCTCCTTTATACTAGGGACAAGCTAGGCTCTGTCAAGTTAAATAACGATTCTAATGCTAAATAAAATTCATTAAGAGTCACTATTTTAATCCCTAGGATTGAAAAATCATATATATATATAAACATAAACACACACACACACACACACACACACATTAGCAAAGATCACCATTAGGCTGATCAAGTTTAAAAGACTTAAGTTATTTAAACAACGTAAGTTTACATCTCCATAAATTGCTACAATGCCACTTGTTCCTGGAAATATTACAGGTGGAAAATAAGAAAAGTGAAAAAAATGGGAATGAGACAGAAAAGAACATTCTTCTGTATAGCACACATCTATGATTGTAAATTTTGGCAACTTCCAAACAAGATTTGCATCTTTTAGCAAATATAAATATATGAAAGATCATATTTGAAGCAAAAATTCAAGAGCCAATGATTTAAAATGCTGGTTTAAAATGTAGTTACTAAACACCAATGGAGCTAAGATCTGCCAGAAACCAAAACTTGGGCTGGTCAATAAACACTAACTTCCCATCTTTTACCCATCCACAGCAAACTAATCTTACACTGCTTTATGCTGAGGCCATAGACAAAGACCACACTGCAGGTTTACTGCCAGCTGAGCACTGCTGAATGCTTTACACACGCTATCCCACACCCACAACTTGGCTGTTCTCATACATTTACCACTAAGGCAAGCTACAGAGGGACCAGCTCACAGAGCTGGGCGCTAAACCTATCTGCACACCCGTAGCCACCAGAGACTCCTGAAAAACCAAATGAAGAAGCATACTGCAACCATACGGAAAATGGCCTTTAATTCAGTTCCACATAACATCTAACAACAGAACAGTCTCTTTTCTTAATAAAGTATGAATGGCAACACGGGTAAACAATCTCAACATCAAAGGATGAAAACTTTTCATGTTATTCTGAAACATATCATAACTAAAATATGACAATTGAAAATTTAAACTGTGGTTTACAATTAAAGAAAAGTAAATCCTTCTAAATACTAAGGGATAAATCCTCCTAACTCAAGGTTGGCTGATTTGCATAACAGTGAGTTATCAATCAACAGAATTAAACTATGCATACTAAAATAAATAAAATTGTTAAAAACATAACTATTTTATAAACTACCTTTAAAGAAAACAAAAGGTTCTGATGTAACCTCTCAGTTCCTTACACGGTGGTAGCTATCTTCTTGGTCACAAGCTATGCTTCTGACCATAGCCCCTTAGCTTTTAGTTACTAGGCCATTTTCCAATGTATTTTAAAGCTGACGATGAACTTTTTTTTTAAAGGAACACAATCAGAAACAAAAATATACCTGGCATATTTTAATCAAACAAGTAAGATATGCAAAGTTCATCCCCACATCCCAGACATTAAGAAAATCGCATTTCCTTCTGAAAGCACTGTGAGAACGGGAGACTTTCAGGCAGAGGGGTGCTCTGCCAAGGACCGCCCCCCCAAAGACAGCGTGGTTGAGAATAGCTTACCCTTTTCTCTGACACCCCATCCTGGCCTGTCGCCTCTTTCTCATCGTGTGTCTCTTTCAGGACTGCCATGTGCTGTTTGTATGCTGGCTCTCTGTTTAAGGTTGTGTATCCTATGTGCTCATAAATTGGGTTTATCGTCATCTTGGCAATGTACTCTGCTGCCTTGGTTTCAATATAGAGAGTAATCAAGCCATCAGTCACCAGATCGTGGATGGACTCAAAGCGTTTCTCCCCAACAAAGTGCTTTCCATCGTAGTAGAGCCTGAAGTTTCTGGTTTGACTTCCAAATCTGCCTCAATGAAATGGGAAAGATGCTTTTAAGAAAAGTGAACAAGTGAATTTTTTTCTAAAGACGAAACAAATACACAAATACTCCAACTTATACATTGCTTTTGCTTGTATATTACTCTGTTTAGAACAGCTGTGACTAATGTCTATTAGTCACTTAGAATACATCAGATTCAACTTTTAAACACAGCAATGTACTTGAAATAACTAGGGTTTTTAGCATGGTGATCCTAGAAAGAATGTACCTTTTATTTACTTATGTATTGTTTAAAATCAATTTATCACACTTGTAATAAAGCAAGGAAAATAAATTTATAGCCTAAGAATTCACATTCAATATGCAATTGGTCAACTATAATATATAAAACTTCTTCAAATTTAATAATGAAAATATTCAAAGTGGTTAAGGCCAGTATTTGTGTCTTTCAACAAGGAAGTCCCATTTACTGCTCACTCAAGTGGGATGCCAACAATCATTTACACTTGTGCTGCCTCCAGAACTGACCCAAGCAGCAGACACAGTTGGGCAATTCTGGCCAGAGGGCAAGGACTTATTCTTACCTTTAAACCTGTCTTCTGGTTAGGTATAGGCAAGAAACACTTGCAAAAACAGTGCATGTTAAGTCCCATGCCATCAGACTATAGAAATCTGTTGTCGGTTTCGATAATATGCCTTAATAACTGGAGAAGGATGGCTTCCCATCATAGTAATTTCAGTATTTTGATTCCTGCAGGAAACCTCAGAATTGGCTCCAAGTTGGCATGACTGACAGTGTCCTGGCCAGGAGATACAGGCAGCTCAGTAGACGCCAACACCAAAGTGGGGAGAGCTGCCAGTTTCAGAGTGAACGCCAATGAAACTAAGCAAACCAGAAAGGATCTTCTTAATTTGGTTATAATCTCTCTCTCTCTCTCTCTCTCTCTCTCTCACACACACACACACACACACACATTAGAAATAAATTTTAAAACTGCAGAGATCTTGCCTTGAAAAGGCCACCATGAAGCTGCAAATTCAGTACGCAACATAATTCTGGCACAGATAATATTCAAATGTGTAGGAGCTACACAATTATTCTAGTTTATTTTATTTGGTGACATGGTCTCACTGTGTAGCCCTGGCTGGCCTGAAACTCACAGAGATCCGCCTGCCTCTGCCTCCTGAGTGCTGGGATTAAAGGCATGCAGCCACTACATCTTGCTAGGAATTAGACACTTTTAAATAATGGGTCCAGAATATTGTTGTTTTTTGTATTTAGACTTTACTAATACTCAATCCAGAATCGAACATAATATCAGTGTTGACCTTTTAACATATAATTATCCATCTTTTGTTCCTTCTAAAGCAATCAAGTTTTTAGTCATACTTAAGTAAATGAGCTCTATAATTAAACTTTCTTCTAAACTTAAACATTTCTCCCAAGCAAATTTTCATTCTATAGGTCTCAAAAGCTAGAAAGATAAAATGTCTATGCCAAAATAATATGTATTATTAGAAAAAGAGAGACACACATGAGAGAGTGGGAAGAGAGAGAGAGAAGGCAGGGAGAAGGAGGGACAGGGAGGGAGAGAAAGAGAGAGAGTTTAAAAACTGTCTAAGCTCCTTTCCAAGGTGGTGATGGCCCTCTAACTGAAGACAGACTGGGCGCTAGTGTCAGTCACCTGTCATACAAGTGTCTTCTGAAGTCTGAGCAGTAAGCAGGGGAGGCAGGGGAGGGAAAGAGCACTGGAACTGGTCCCAAAAGGGTTAGGTATGGCTTGACTAGAGAAGGGAAGTCTAAGTTTGGACTTCTGCTTTACCCTTTAACCCCAAGAGGTCTCCTCCATGATTCCAGCTCCTCTTCTGTCTGCTAGCCTTGAGGGAGCTATGAGATTACTGAAGGAGCTCTTGGTCATAAGGTACCTGATTAAACTTAGTCTCAAAGGACATGGAAGCAATGCCCAGACTGGAACTTTGCTTAAGTTTTTCTTTAGAAAAATCATATCATTTTACTAAAGGAATGGCAGGTTTTCCTTTAGTTACCAAAAGCAACTCTCATTTATTTAGGGCACTACCTAAGGGACAGTCTAACAGTGTGGACTATCAGACACTGTGCTTTACTTTGATTATTTTGTACTTTGTTGTGGAATTTGCGGGATCAGAAGTAGAGATCAAGCAGAATATTCTTGAGAATGGAGGGGAATGGCTGTAAGAAAAACAAGAAGAGGAAGACACCAGGTCTGAGGATGAAGGGCCCCTTCCTTGTAACTGCGCTCTGCTGGTATGTTCTTTATTCAACAACCAGTCAAGAAATGCTCAGACACTCCCAGTATTAGGATGTTCATGATGTCCTGTGTACATAGCAAACACAATGGGACAGAGATAATCATAAAAACAGATCAAAGAAAGATATGAAGTGCTGAATTTCAAAAATCTCAAGTTAAGACTGCTTAGAACATGTTTTACATCTGTTTATGTGTGAACACACACATGTGCATGCCCAAGCACACACAGGTCAAAATCCTAGGAATTGGTTTTCTCCTTAGACCATTTGGGTTAGGAACTGAACTCAGAACATCAGACTTGGTAGCAAGCACCTTTATTGTCTGACTAATTTGTGGACTGCTATTCCACTATTTCTTTAGACAATTCACTCTTCCCATTTTCTGAAATAACCACCCACCTCTGCCTGGACTAGGGCTGAGTACACATGCCGGGACTGGAGCAGCCCAGCTCTGCAGAGACAGCTGAGCAGGAAAGAACGAGGGCAATATGCTCTGCGCTGTGACTGCTGTATGGAATCACCACTTCCCACGATTATTCTCTCCTGTGGCTCTAGCTGGGTTTTCCTGGTTAAAATAACTATTTATTTCTGTGCCCACCTAGTTGCATTAGATGTATTTCAAATTTTGTAATTCCACCATTTAGCTTTAAATTTATGAACTCCTTTCCAACTTTTTTCTTGTGGGTGAATAATATTCCTAAAAAATTCAGTCTAGATACATAAAATGATGAAAATATGTAAAACCGTTACTTTCTATAAAACCAAAATTTAATTTGATTTGAGGCCAAAGTTATTTTGAAGTATCTCTTCAAAGGACTCAAAGCTAAGTCTCCTGCTTACAAACAGAAAATAAAGTATACACAAGACTATGTCTGCTAATACTGAGACAGAGGAGGAGTTTCTAGCAACAAATACACAAAAATGTTTTCACCATAAACACAATTTGTAATATTTACCAGAACCAAAGCATCCAACTCAATGCAGTAACACGTAGGAACACCGCAGAAGCACACACAGTCACAAACAAGCCTCCGGGAGACAGCTGGGAACAGAAGTGAGCGATGAAGCATTCTATGATCTAGGCTCTGCTGAGGGACTTTACACCACCCCCTCTAAGACATGTATGACCTTTGCCTACCTTGTTACATGTTTTTTGATGATAAAAATTGGGGAAATTACTAAAATGAGTAAACTTATTCCTGTATTTCTCCTCCCATTGCTTAACTAATTTCCAAAGATGGCACCAGACAGCTCTGGAAGGTCACAACCCCCGCAGGACACAGCACTCCTAATCCTGTCCCTGCCAGACCTAAGTTCTGCTCACTGGTGAGGACGAAACAGACTGGTGAGCACAGGCAGAGCAGAAAGCCGAGGTGCCATCTTGAATATAGGACACTGAAACCATCCCTTTACCAGGTCCTCAGGAAGCGCCTCTCCTGACAGGAGACCTGAAGACTTCTCTGGGGAACCCCATCAGCTCTACAATAAAGAGCACCATCCTGTAACTGTCAGGCTCCCCTGAGCTCTCAGAACTGCACTTGAGCCCAAGTGCCAAATGCACTTAAATATGGCAACCAGCCAGCAACCACCCAGTGTCTGAGAAAAATGTTCCCGAAAGAAAAAGACTAAGATAAACAGACAGAATCTGGTCAAGTTGGAGGAAACAAATCATTCACAGGGAAAATATTTATTTTAAAAAATATTTATTTTTAAAGTATTATAGGATCTCTTATTTCCATTCTTACATAGAAGTTAGTCAAAACGATCAGCATGCTACAAAGGAGACACACTGTAAATACAGAGAATTTAGGAACTGGGGTTTGAGCCCAGGACTGTGTGATTAAGAGTTATGTTCTGAGTCACTGACCACCTATCCTGATTTAGAATCACAGGCTGAATCAGTCATCAAAAGCCCTATCAAAAATCTATGTGTCTTTTCGAGTAACTCAGTAAAGGATTCACAAATCTCTGTTTACTAGAGAGATTTTTAAGAGAAGAGTAATGATCTGAGTGAAAAATGGCTCTTTGGTTTCATATTATGCAGAGAACTGCATCCTAAAGAGGTATTGGGAATCTGATGGTTCACGATCCAGTGCATCTGAACAAATCCCAGGTACGCATCTTGTAGAAGCCTAAGAAGTCAAGATGAGTAAGGCATCCTCCCTGCCCTGGAGGACCTCATTTCATTTTTAAACACAGCGGGGCACATAAATAGTCATTCTCTGTAGGTGTACCTTCTGCTTAGCTGTATTTAAAGATCATGTAAGGATCTTTTTAGAAAATTCAACTTAATAACAATATGGAAAAATCACCAGATGTAAACATGAAACAGTGTCTCAACTGTAACTTTGCCCACTGGGCACCATTCCTAAAAAGCCCCCACACCTGAGTCAGAAGATTTTTAAGTGAACCTAAGATCCCAGCAGAAAACAGATGTTGGAATTTCTAACAAAAATTCTGAAGTCTTAGCAGGCAGTGCCAATCTATAGAATTCACAAAATAATCACAAATGAAAGCAGAAGCAAAGGCTAACCACAAGTACCTAAAACCACAGCAAATAGGGCAGGATAGATGCTCAGATTGCAAGAACCACAGGCAGCAGGAGATAGCATGGGATATTCACAGAGCAGCTACTCTACTAGAGTCAAAGATTACAGGATACATAGGAGGGGAGTTAAGTTATCCTAAAGGATAAGGGCACTATATCAAACACCTATTTGTGAACTTCAAAAAGTAA